TGGCCCAGGGCTGTCACGAGGTTTACAGAACGACCGTATGCAAACATACAACGGTGGATATCAAAGGTGTTCACATCAGCGCCCCGATCTGGACAGCCCAGGAAAGCCCGATCTCATCAGATCTCAGAAGCTAAGCAGGGTCGACTCTGGCAAGTGCTTGGATGGGCGACCTCCTTGGAATGCCAGCACTTGGGAGGCGGGCTTCATTCAGCCACCTCTCTGAATATCCTCCAGGGCCCCAGCAGGGGTCAGTCACCAGAGGTCGCCATGGCTTCCAGGTGCACACACACTCACACGCGGGTGCATACACACACATACGAAAAATACAAAAAGGTGTTCACATCATCCACGTGGGGCAATAAATAAAGGCGCTGGACTTAAAATTAGGGAGACTGGAGTCCAAATCCCCACAGTGCAACATAACATGGGGACATCTGCTCTCAGTCTAATCTACCTGACAGGGCTGTTGTACGAATCAGTTCCAGTGTTCCCACTAAGCGGAGTCAGTGTGAGCTAGCTCACAGTTTTTTAGCCTCCGGCTCACACATTTTTGCCTTCGCTCAGGAAGGGATGGCTCCAGAGCAAACTGACTTACGCAGTAGCCAAAGGGCTCACTCACAACCTTAATGCCAGTAATTCGCAAAGTAGAATTTCTGCTCACCAGACTCCACAGCTTAGAGGGAGCATTGGGGGTCCCTGTCTGTCAGGTAGATTAGATTGAGAGCTGCTGTCCCCACGTTATGTGGCACTGCGGGGATTTGGACTCCAGCTCCTCCTGTTTATCTAGTCCCTCAAGGATAAAACCACAATATGTAACTGTGTAAGCAGATCTCCCTCTACGGTCAAGCTGCCAAAGGAGAACTGGTTAGATGGGACGATCCCTGGCAACTGTGCGCGTGATGGAAAGGAGTCGCATTCTGAAGAGCTCGGCAGGCATAGGGCACTTCACAAAGGATCAGGGATGAAGCACGAGATCAAGCGGAGAACAAATATCTGATTACACGGGGGGGGGGGGGGAGATTCTCCACCTGCCCCCTTTCTGCCCCGTGACTGTCACTGTGACAAACCCAGAGCCCTCGGAGAGCTTCCCTGCAGGAGCCTCGAGAGAGAGAGGAAAGGGCCCCCGCAACACAGGGAATGACAAACGATCCGGCATTCAGACTCAGCGTGGGGCCTTGGAGCCCGGCTTCAAGGGGGGGAGGCAATGAATGCGGCTTCCCAGAGCTGCCATTCTCCAAAGAGTAATGGGGCACAGTCCCCGATGCAGAGCGAAACAGCTCATCCAATTAACGTACAACGTCTCCCGGGGTCGGGAGGGATTGTCTGGGCAAAACGCAGCTTCCTAACATTTCCCCACTCCTGCTCAGCCGGGACTTTCGAGGGGGTGGAGGAGCAGCGGAGGAGACCACTCAGGGATTTGGGGGGGGGGATAGGACGCTGCCTAGCAGCAGGCAGAAGATCAGGATGAACGGACTGCTGGAACTTAGAGCCCCAGTATGTGGTCGCCAGGCCACCGTGGCAAATTCATGGCAGCCGAGGCGACCAAAGGCTGCTGTGCAAGACGGAACCTCCATTTACAGAGCACCTCTGAGTGCAAACGGCAGGGGACGCCACAGGGCAGTCTGGTTCCCCACGCCTGGATGGTCAGCAGTGCTCCCTCTAAGCTGAGTTAGTGTGAGCTAGCTCGCAGTGTTTTAGCCTCTGGCTCACACATTTTTGCCTCCGCTCTAATTGATGCAGCAGCCAAATTGCTCGCTCACAGCCTTAAAACCAGTAGCTCACAAAGTAGACTTTTTGCTCACGAGACTCCACAGCTTAGAGGGAGCACTGATGGTGAGTGTCCCAAAAAAAACCTGCAGAAAACAGAGAGCAGGGATTCAGTGATGCCACCTCGGTCTGATCCTGCACGGTTGTTCTTCTTACACCTTGCGGAGAACGCCCCGCCCGGCACAGTGTTTCACCCGAGCCCGAAAACAACACAGCAAAAAAAATCACGCAGCAAACTGATGCAAGTTCTGCTCCGCCACACGCTAAGTTTTGCAGCCGGAAAAAAAGAGATGTCAATTAAGTACGTTGCAAGGTCCTTCTTCTTTAGCATAATTTGTCCCACTTCTGCTAGATACGGGGAAGGGCAAAGCTGCAAGGCTCCCCTACCCCTCCGTGGCCCCCGGAAATCATATTCCACCTTCCGCTCTCCCACCCTGGTGGCAGGGGAAGCTCTCAAGAGTTTCTTCACACTCATGAGCTTCTGGATGCTTTAAAAAGTTAAGATGAATTCTGCAGGCAATACTGTTATGGAACAGGGACACACAAACATACACCGAGGCACTGCAATCACCCTCTCCAGCAGGGGTACAGGAAGGAGATGGAGAGGGAGGAAGAGGGAGATACAAAGTTAAGATGAATTCTGCAGGCAATACTATTATGGAACAGGGACACACAAACACGCAAACATACACAGTAGGGGTACAGGAAGGAGATGGAGAGAGCGGGAGGGAGAGGGAGGAAGAGGGAGATAGGGAGAGAGTCTTCCCACTGGGATCCCGGGGGTTCCATACCCACAAAAAGAACGAGGCAGGGGCCCTCATTCAGGTGCACGGCGTTGGCCTCCGTCAGCTCCAGGACAGGCTTGGGGTACCAGGGGAACTCCCGGCAATCCAGGTCGTTCAGGACTTCCACCCGGCCTTGCCGCGTGATCACCTCGCCCTTGGGGTCCAGGATGATGAGAGTTGGGATACCTGCAGCGGGAAACCAGGCCGGGGAAGGGGGAGATGGAGAAAGAGAAAGGTTTTCATCTCTGGGAGCGTGAGAGCAACCGGGAAGGCCCCGAAGACCTCCTTTCTGTGAGCAGAACCCACCCCCACCCCCGCCCCGTCCACAGAGCAGTGGGAATGAACTCAGCCAGGCCCAGGCAGAAGGAACTGACAACCTGGGATCGTCAAGAACACACAAGGCGGCACCAGGGCTGAAAAGGGTCCTTTGCCCGACCGTACCCCTTCGTGTCTTGGTTGCAGCTGAATTGGGAAGTGGGCCTTTGAGCCTCAGATACCCGGAGTCGTGAGAGCGCAGGGCCCCGCATTTCCCAGGAAGCAATCCCCTGTGGAGAGGGGGGAGAGGAAACGTCCCTGGGGAGCCGAACGCCAACCACTGGACACGAAGCGGCTTCATTCAGAGCTGCACTGTCAGCCAAGGCCTTCCCCAGCTCTTGTGAGCCTCTGGGAAGTGGGCCTTTGAGCCTCAGATACCCAAAGTCATGACAGCGCAGGGCCCTGCACTTCCCAGAAAGCAGTCCCCTGTGGAGGGTGGGGGGGGGAGAAAACGTCCCCGGGGAGCCGAACGCCAACCATTGGACACGAAGTTGCTTCATTCAGAGCTGGACTGTCAGCCGAGGCCTTCCCCGGCTCTTGTGAGCCTCGACTGGGAGGAGCTGTTGGGGACTGACCTCTTGGCAGGCAAAGCGGATGTTCTGCTTCTGCCCCATGCCCCCTCACCGTTCCAAACACCCCGTGGAACAGACGAAGCTGCCTTGGAGCCAGGGAAGTGGTTCTCGGCCTCTGGAAACCCAAAGGCTACCCCCGTCGCAATTTCAGCTTTCTTGCAGACTTCCGTGCCCATCACCAGCAGCCTCCCACGTGCCAGACAGCCCCCCTTTCAACGCACAAGGTGACCCACGCGTGCACCACGGAGGCTTTCATCCTCTGGTGTCCTCAACCGTAAGAGCCGCATCAGCAACCCTTCCAAAGCAAAACGCCGGCGTCTGTGCTGCCTGTACATGGGCCGCAAGGTCAGGTTGCGGAGGCCAGCTGATTCTATAGGGCCACCACCCAGAAGGCCCTGCTCCCACCTCTTGAATGGAAGGGACTTTGTGTGGAAGCCAGCAAGGAACTTCTAGGAATCTGCAGGAAGAGGCACGGGAAAAACTTTGGCCCCGGCCCTGACCTGCTGGAACTCTCTGCCAAACAACACCGGGGCCCTGCGGGACCTTGTGCCATTCCACAGGGCCTGTAAGGCAGGGATGTTCCGCCAGGCGTTTGGCTGAGGCCAGCGACGGCTTGCATCACGGCTGGCGCCCTTCCTGGATCCCTACCCCTTGCAGGGCCTACTCCTCCCCCCGTGCCCATGGAGTACCCGCAGGCCAGAAACGGAAGGGAACCACAACATTTCGCCACTTGACTTTAAGTAACGAATTATATGTTCTGATGATGGTTTTATTGTTTTTAAATCTGTACATCGCCTAGAGCCCCACAGTCGTGGGGATTAGGCGATTCAAAAATGCAAATAAATAAATAGATACATAAGAGACAGAGGATGACCAGCCTCTTCCTCCCTCTCTCTCTCTCTCTCTCACACACACACAGAAGACGAAGAAGAAGAAGAAGAAGAGATTGGATTTATACCCCGCCCTTCACTACCCAAAGGAGTCTCAGAGCGGCTGACAAACTCCTTTCCCTTCCCCTCCCCCTCCCCACAACAGGCACCCTGTGAGGTAGGTGGGACTGAGAGAGCTCTGACAGAAACTGCTCTTTTTCAAGAAGACCTCTGACAGAACTATGGCTTGCCCAAGGTCATCCAGCAGGTGCAAGTGGAGGAGTGGGGAATCAAACCCGGTTCTCCCAGATTAGAGTCCGCGCACTTAACCAGTACACCAAACTGGCTCTCAAACACACACACACACTGAGTTCTGGTATGCAACTGAAAACTGCCACTGTCCATTATGGACAATATTTTGCATTGGAAATCAGAATGAAAACCAGTTCCGTTTGATGACGCCCGACCTGCCTTCGACCTGGACCTCCTCCATGCACCTGAGGGCTCCTAGGGCTGAGTGACTGGATCCTGGCAAGCGAGGAAGCCGTGTGTTCCCCCAAATCCCAGTCAGAGAAACTCTGGTCTGGGCAACGGTGCCAAGAGCTCCCCCCCCCCCCCCCCCCCAGCCGTCACAGAGCTTTCACCACTCTTAAGAGAAACACCAAAAAGGACAGAGCCAGCCATGTTTTCATTGAACCTATCTTGGGAAGGAAGGGTTTAAAAGAAATCTCTTAAATAAACAGAACGGCAAGCTTAAAAAGTGCTGTGGGCTTGAGAGTATCCACCAAGGAGAAGGAACGAAGTCAGGTTAGAACGTGATCCCAGCAGGCTGGCTGCGAAAGAACGCACTGATCCCTTGCCAACCTTCTTTGTACGTTCTATCCCAGATAAACGCAGGGCGGATTAAGGAGACTGGCTGGCACCCAGAAATTCTTAAATTCTGACTTTTAGGGGGTTTTAGAATTGGTTTTTTAAAATGTTTTATTTATATGGTTTTAGTTGTACACATATTTTGTCAGTTTTTTAATATTTGTATTTATATTGTGAGTCGCCTTGAGTTCTCCAAGGAAGAATGGCGGCTAATAATGGTTTCAGTGACATAGATAAAAGATTGCACCGCTCTTATTTATTTATTTATTTACATGGGATTTATATACCGCCCATGACCCCTAATGGGTCTCAGAGCGGTTTACAGAGTACTACTAGTATAGTAGTAGTTAACCTACCTAGGGCCACACATTTCAGGGGGGGACAACCTACCAACACCCAGGAACTGTTGTAGCCCCCCTCACAGGGCTGTTGTGAAAGCGGAACACAGTGATATGAAAGCATTTAGCAAGTTTTTTAAAAAGCCACATAAACGATCACATGAATGCTAGCAGAGATAAGAGCAGGCAGGGGTCATTTCCTGCAGGAGTGCACAGGAGCAGAGCTCTGGCAGTAAAGAGCCCAGGGGGCGGGCACATGCAACAAGACCCACCCCCTACTCCCAGCAGCCCTCAGTCAGAGCAAGAAGCAGCCAGTTAAGTTGCAGAGCCCCCCACGGCCCCAAACAGTCCAGTGGCACCTTTAAGACCAAGTTTTATTCAGGTACAAGCTCTCCCTCCTCTGTGAGGACAGATCTGCACGTTCCCCCCCCAATAGCTAGCAATCCAAAACAGTCCAGTGGCGTCTGAGCGGTGGGTGTTGCCTTCTGACACACTGCCAGTGATGTCAGGGGGTGTGACATATGCAAATGAGTTATGCTAATAAGCTCTTGCACCTCTTTTTCTACGAAATGACCCCTGAGGGCAGGGAAGGGATTTCGCCATAATGCCCTTGCATTATGGTGAAATCCCTTCCCTGCTCTTATTTCTGCTAGCATCCGTGTGATCGTTTATGTGGCTTTTTATGTGGCTTCAGGAGGTCAATCGTCAGAAAGGACAGACCTCTCACAATAGCAGTTAGGCAGAATGGTGAAATGGAACCTCCCCAGTCAGCAGCTGTCTACCCCTGGCCACCACATGCCTGGGACACACGGCAGAGGATGACCCCCACCTTCATGCCCCATTTGTGGACCCCCCCCAATTCACTTGCCAGGCCGCTGCTGCAAGGCTGGACGATACAGGCTTTGCTTTGACCCGGCAATGCCAGAGAAACCAGGCGGAAACGCTAAGCTTAGGCTGGCACGGAGTGAGCACGGCTCAGCCAGCAGCACACATGGCTCACGCGAGGCAGGCCCCGATCCCTGGACACTGCCGTCCAGGGCTCTCAAGTGCCGCCCAAGGTCTCTCTCTGCCCAAGAGCTGCCACTGGTCAGAAAAGCCAACCTTGGGTGAAGTATACCGAGGCCCTCCTGCCCCTCCGGCTAGAAGAGAAAGCACAGCGCTGGGCGGGGGAGTGGGTGGGCAGCAGTGTTCCAGCTTCATACCCAGCCGCATCACCTCCGGCTCAGCCAACCAAGCAGGCTCCCTTCCCTCTCCTGTTGCCTCTTTCCTGCCTCGACATCTGACAGACGCCTTGACCCTCACGGCCACCTGCCACTCAGCTGTCCCGGAATTGGATTTCTCCGTGCGGGGCAAAAGGCCCGCTTCTCCTTCTCCTGCCTCCTCTCCCCTCCCTCTGCAGTTGCAAAGGCCACCTCTTCAGAGCCCAGAACCAGCTCCCATAAATGCGGGGGGGCAGCTCACCGGGCCCCCGCGTCTCTGGCTGGCCTGCCCCGGTCCTTTCTTGCCCCCTTCTCCACCGACCACTGCTCCGGGTCTGAGCGTTCGGCCCTGTGACGGACTTGGCGACGGCTTGCCTTTTCCCGTGGTTGCCGCCGGAGAGCCAGAGTTCAGCCATTTGGGACTAGACCCAGAACATTCCCGGGGCTAAAGGAGGTCCAACGGAGCAGATGCAGGGAATGAAAGGGAAGGGCAGGGGAGGGTGACATCTCACTTCAAGGGAAGGTGGCAAAGAGGCGGAGGAATCAGCAGGGCCCTCCCCCCCAGCACTTCTGGTGTTTTCAAAGCACTTCGCACACACTGACCTTCATCATCCTAACAATCACCCCCGCAAGGCAGGCCAATAATAGGGAGAGAGGGGGTAGCCTAAGGCCTTCTAGGGAGTTTATAGCAGAGGCGGGATTCAAACTGGGGTCCGCACTTGGGGCACGTCCCTTCGTTAACCACTGCGATAAAAAGGGCATTAAGAAATGGGTTGAACTGGATGCCTTCATAGAAGACAAGTCCATCGATGGCTGGTGGCCAGATGGAACCTCCATGTTCAGAGGCAGTATACCTCTGAATACCAGCCCGTGGAGGGGCAACAACTGGGGAAGCTTTGGATTCTGGGCCTCCTGTGGCTTCTTGTGGGAAGCAGGATGCTGGACCAGATGGACCTTGGGTCTGATCCAGTGGGGCCCTTCGGATGTTCTTACAAGTCTGCAGGGGGCAACCATTTAATACAT